TAAAGAATTTGTTATGCTTCTGACGACCACACAAAAAATTGCAGATCTCAGAGGGATGTAAAAGAAAGGGTTGTAAAACTGGAGCACCCTGTGTGTCATGGACGAAGCGTAGTAAACAAGACTAATTGCGTCAATGATCGAGACGTAGATATGGGCGACGGACGTGTTGCTCTTGTTCGACTTTTATGTTATCGTGGCTTCAGAGCGTTAACAGAATAACGACGGAAAACAACCAGCCCCTTTTAATGTCGCATATTAATTTAGAACCTCACATTAATTATCATACATGCTCTCGAATTATCTCAGTGTTAAAAGAATTATCGACTGTTCAAAGAATGTAAAAGGATTTGGACTGTACACAGTTGGAAAATTTGGGTTTTCTTGTTTAAAAAAATGCCGGTTAAAATTCTTGCGTTAAATGTTTAACGCATTTATGTGCTAATGTAACATATTGCTCTTATGTTAATTGACCTCAAATGTAAAATTATTAAAATGACTAAGAAGAAAGGTTAAAAATTTAACACAAATTTTTCAACTGTGTACCGCGACTTTTTTCAAAGCTCGTGGATACGCTCCGAAGTAAAATAGGGAAGACTCGAAATCACGTTTGACTGTCTCACTAAAATTATTTTAATTATTATCGATTATAAGACCCGGTTTCACCAAACGTCGCTTGACCTTAATCTTGGTCTAATTCATATTTGTCTCTTTCTAGAGTAAAACCTAAGCTACAATGTGCTCTTTGCGTCTAGAAACATTCTATTTTACACAAGCGAATTAAAACGCTTAGAAAAATTTGTCGACAAATTACTATTGTACAATGTACAATTTATCACCTTGCACAAATATTTTTAATATTATGGGCTACAAAATCGAATGTTTCTAGACGCAAAGAACACATTGTAGATCAGCCTTAGCAGTTGGAAGGAGACAAAAAACGAATTGAGCCGAGCTTGAAGTTAGGCGACGTTGGTGAAACCGGGCCTGAATCGTCTAGCGCAAAAAAAAAAAATTGAAAGTTGCAGCCCGTCAACCGGGTGGCGTAGCGAGGCGCGGCGTGCGATTGGATTTTCGGGGGTACGACCGTTTTCGCTTCTCACCGAGACGTGCGAGCGTTAATCCGTTCGGTTCGCCAAACGTGGCACGCTCTCAAAAATGAACGCGCGACGCAGGCCACGGGGAGAGCGGTAGCGATCTCTCCCGCGCGACGGGATAATCAGCGTCGTCGCCCGGCGGCTCGTACCCCAGCGCATCCCCGGGGGGGGGGGGGGGTTAGGACTCGGCGGGGGGCCCGCGGACCCCACGGCGGCCCAGCGCCGGCGCGGGGGGGGGGGTGGCCCCCCCGGGGGCCGGCGGGGGGTCGCGGGCCGGGCGGGCGCCGGGACGGGGGGGTCCAGAGGGGAAGGATGCGGAACCCGGCGTGCCCCCTCCCGTCCCCCCCCCCCCGCCCCTCCTCGACGGATCGTCCCCAGCCGCTCGTCTTACCGGTGTCGTCGTGGTGTACATAAGCTCCTCCCTGGCCCTCGCCGTGGTCGTCGTAAAAACGCGCCCCTGCCTCACGCCGCCCCTGCCGCCGTGGCTGACGCGGAGGGGGCGAGGGCGGAGGGGAGGGACGCGAACGACGGGGAGGGCGCGCCGTAAAAACCCATCTTCCCTCGTGCCCCCCTTCCCCCCCCTCCTCCGCCTCTCTCGCTCTCTCGCTCTCCCGTACCCCCACAGCCGCTGGCACGCCGCGCAACCCCCGTGGATGCTCGACCTCCTTACCCCGCTATCTGCGCCCCGAGGAACCGACATTTTTGCAGGGTGGTACCCGAGCCCCCAGCGCACGCGGTACCCTGCAAAAGCACGCGTCCTACCCCCACAGTCTTCCTCCCCGCCCTCCGCTTCCTCCTGGGGCGCACGTTTTGGCATTCGGACGTTGAAGGGTGGGCACGAGGAAGGGGGGGGGGAGCCGCGATGGCACATGCTCACCTAGGGGGTGACCGTGTCCTCGGGAGGGTAACGCGCGCGGGATTTACGATCCCGGGATTAAAATTGCGGAATATGGGTCTCATTCGTTAAAGAGGCGCGCTTCACCGTGACGTATTTCTTCGAGAGACGCGAGAGACTGATTCTACATTCATTCAGCGTGACGTCGGAGACGCGTTTTGGCGAAACGCGTTTAGGCCCAATTTCGCCGACGTCGCCTGGCTTTAAACTTGGCTTAAATCCGTCCCGTTTCGTCTATTCCCGAGTCGGCAGTCAGGGTCGGCCGGTGCTTTGCTGTGATTGAATCATAGTCGGGAGTCCGAGTCAGTAGTCGAGTCAGAGTCGGGAGTCTGTAGTCTGATACGGGCTTAAGCCTTGTGTCCACGATCCTAGAACTGCGTCCAAGTGGATTGGCCACACACTTCCGGGAACTAGAACTTGGACGCGGTTCCTGAATCGTGGACGCAAGAGAGAAAGACTCTAGAAAGAAGCAAACAATGAATTAAACCGACAATAAGAACCGTTGAACGATGTAGGTTGAAACCGAGCCACGCGTTCCGTTTAAACCGGTGTCGAACCGACAAATATAGAGACTTAATCCTTCGCGTCTCTCAAAAAGTATGCTACGCGTCTCTTTAACGAATTCGCCAATAGTTTCCGCACGCATAATGACGTAACAACGTTTGCACGCAGCGACGTTTAATCGCGCGCGCAACGACCGCGGGGACCGACTTCTCGAACTCTCGAAACCCCGGAATCTCGGTCTCTCCTCCGCCGAACCTCCGCTTTCCTCTCTCTCTCACTCTCTCTCTCTCTCTCTTTCCCTCCTCTCTCAACCCTTTCCTTTCGCCACCCCTTCGTCGCTTCTCGCGGACTGCTCTTTTTCCTCCTTCGCCGACATCGCTACGATTCTTTTTGCCGCCCCCCCGTCGCCAGACCGCCGCCAACCCTCGCACACCCTCCCACCGCTCTTATTTTTGCCCTCCTTCCTCCCCCCGTTCTATCCCCCCACTCCCACGGCCTTTCTCCGGACCGGTAGGAAAAGCGCGAGAGACTTTTATTTTCGCACGTAGAAAAAGCAAGGCGGAAAGGGAGGTTTTGCCGGCAGACCGTTACTGCGAGGCGGACGTTTTTTGCGACAGCTCCGTAATCCGTGAAAGGGTGAGAGAGCGCCGGGAGAAGCCAAAGGCGCCGCGATGCTCGCTCGCTCGCTCGCTCGCACGTTCGTTCATTCGTTCGTTCGTTCCCTCGCTCGCTCGTCCGTCCGTCCGTCCGTCCGTTCGTCCGTCTGTCTGTCTGCCGCCCGTCCGTCCATCCGCTCGCTCGCTCGCTCATTCGCGATTTGCATAGAACGATCCGGACGCTCGGCTCCGGCGAGACCGGCGATCGCTTTACGTCGCGCGATTGCACGAGCGTTGCAAGGCGGATGCGCCGGTTAATTGTTAGATAATTCGATTTCTTCGCTGTGCGGGATACAGTCCATTATTGGCACTGCAAGAGGGATGATTCCACGTTGAAATCGTTAATTCCCATTACGATTACTCGGGGAGCGTGCACACGCGTACACGCACAATTATACATTGTCGAGTTATCTTTAATTAAAGGATGCGAATTTTGACCACAAATTTAACCGTCGCAATAAATGTTTCAACGAATATAAAAATTTCTACTTTAAATCAATTTTTTGTAGTCATTTGTAGAATTTTTTCCGCTAGGGTTGAGCGGTACGGGTTTAATTGTTTGCTACAAATCGAAAAATATGCCTTTGTTTCGAAAAGATCAGAAGAATGTAATTCCGTGACTTTCCATACAGCACGCATGTCTAAAAAGCATCTTTAAGACATGACTTAAAGGAGTCTTAAAGATGCCTTTTAGACATGCCTGCTGTATGGATTCCGTTTCAATGAATGCAATGAAATTTAGAATATCTTCGAAGTTATGGGGGATGATATAAAAATTATTAATTCAATATAGCACACGATATCTCGCTGCCTTCAAGTTTTATTATCACTCTTTACAAAATGTCAGTCTCAAGAGGCCATTTTTGCGTTGGTATTTTATTTGAAAAAGGAATAGAGCTAGGTCTCTCTCCCTCTATCTTTGGCGCTATACGTGCAAATGTGGATTTTAGGATCTTAATACCTCCGTTCGTGAGAAAAAGGGTTTAACGGAACGTGCTTAATGAAGTAGCGCACGGTTCCTTGGTTGGAAATATGCAAATCTGCAGGAACGAGAGGGAGAGGAAAAGAGGGGCCTGAGAAACACTTCGGGAAAGGGGTCGCGCGATGGACAATTTTTTGACCAGAGCATACTAATGTCAACCGTAGAAAAACCGACAGAAAAACGAAGGGATAGGCAACCGGCGAACATTACCATGCGTGAGATTTTCATTCGAGACGCCACAGCATATCGCAGCTGCCTTATTTCTTGCGGAGATCAGAACGGCAACCTCATTTCAAGATTCGGAGGCTTCTTGTATATGTGCGATTTTAAGATGAAAAAAAAGATTCCCGTGAATCGTGACTGATTAGCGATCGCAATTTGTTTCTCGAAATTTGAGAAATCATGAGTAAAACATACGATTAATTTACAACTGCAGTTTTTCGTGTCGAATCAAAGTACAATCAAGAGACGTAATAGCAATAAATGTACCTATAAACAGTGATGTTTTTTTAGTTTTCTTGAAAAAAGCGGCCTTCGAAAGCTATTAACTTATAATTTTATAAATACTATTCCGTAGAAAATAAAAACTAAATAATTGTATTGTAAATGTAGAGTTCTTCTACATTGATACAGCGAATTCAAGAAAGAAAACATCGTAATTATAAGGAATAATTGTTTCTGCAAATCACTGTATAATTTTGCAAACTTTATACCTACACTTTTATTTTTGTTTTTTATCACATAATTATCAAGTGTTGTCATCTCACTGGTGCAATACCATTTTTTAAAAGAAAAATACTCTTTTTCTAAATGTTTTAACTTACCGTTATTTATTATAGACAAATTAAGAGGGGCACAAGCGGGAATACTTGTATCACTTTAAGTGCTTCTTTTTATTTAATACACAATGCTGTAACGGAATTGTAATTACAAATTGTATCACGCGCCGATCGCAATGATCTCGTTCTGCAGGAAGACAACGTTAGAAAGGCAGTGCTCGGGAATAGCAAGAACATGATAAAAGACGTTATTCCATACTGAATTATTAAGTACTCAATTATGTTCCTGTGCACGATCTCGGCTCGACAAAACTTTAAGACACAGAAGATGTACAGACACTATATCTATACTTAACACATACACAATCGTTATAAAAGTATAAGTTATCAAAATGTAGAAAATCGTCTATTATATTAGCTTACATGCGATAAGTCGAGCGATAAAGAGGTAATCGGTGTAACTGCAAAAGCAAATGCATGCTTATGCCGCTATTGTCAGCATAAGCTCTTGTCAATATAGTGTATCCTGCCTATATTAGTCTTGGTGTCTACAAAGAGAACAATTATATCTTACATTCTGAAGAATATAAACGAAAGAATTCTACGCGTCAAGTAGGTAGGTGGCTTGGGCAGCTGTGAATAATACATAACGGGGAACTTCGACGAGTATGTATCATACACGCAAATATGTAGAAAACCGGTTAAATAAAGTTAAGCACATTATAATTACTTCAATCTATCTCATGTTTTCGTGATTACTGGAGCTTCATTTATAAATTAGTTATGAATCACATCTATTCGCGAATAGAATAAAATTTATTATCGAAATCTTATCTGCGAAGATTTGGATTAATAGTACACGAGATAAAAAGAACACGTCGCACACGATAGATTCTCAAAACGAGTCGACGATAAAAATACTGTTCGACTTATCTTAACACAAACAGCTTTTTAGGAACTCGTAGGCGCTCTATTCTTAAGGCTACTTTGTAATTTCGGGAGCGATGCGTCGACTACTACGGTAGTTCGTTTACTAAAGCTACAAAATATAAATCTTTAGTATATATAATACTTTCTGTAATGGTTCTGCGATTTCTTTTGAACAAGTACTCGTAATGCGTTAGTTTTCGCCGGTTATAAAGTTACAAAATAGCGCGATTAATGTACTAACAGGAAAATATGCATCAAAAAACGACGGCGGGATGCTTATACATATGCTTTTCAGAAAGCGTATGTAAATTATGAGAATATACATATAAGAACACGTTCTTTTCTTTCTTCACTCTTCCTCTTGTTGCTTTCGGACATACTAATGGAAGCATCGGGGATGTGGAAGTTTATACACAACCATACTCGTACCATATCGAACCAGTCTTTGGCTCTTTTTCAGCGGAGGGTTCTGTGAGCGCCTCATCTGGCGCTGCATCCTTCATCGAACTATTACCAATGTTTTTCGACTCGTTTATGACTGCCGATACTTTATTGTAAATCAAAAAGGGGCGTGACTCGACTTGCGTTTCAGGTTTCGTCTCCATCTGCGCGGCGTGCACGTTGTCTCCTTGTTCCTGGAAAGACTCGCTCAGCAGTCTGTCTGTCTGCGTTTCAAAGATTTCCTTAATAGAGATTGCATTTTTATGTGATAAGTTTCATTATTGTTCTTGTTGTTGTAAAGTTATTTCTTACGGGTAAAGAAGCGGACGAGGGTGGGGAATCATCAGTGTAGTATACCGTTCTTCTAGTTCCAGCATGCCCAAGCGCGTCCGATCCAAAAACTCTGCTCGGTCCTGAACAAAAAATAAAAAGGTTGATTCATATTGTTAATATTGTCACAATCTATGAATTTATAACATTTGTTCTACGATTCTAAGAAATCGTTTACCGGGTAAACGATAGTCATCGGTGCTCGCATCTGAATCGTTCCCGCCTGTGTCAGACTCGTATATTTTACTGTCCGACTGCTTGGAATCCTCGGCCCATGAACGTCGATTCTAATAAGCAAGTTTTATAATCGTCGCTTTAACTTCTTTTTAGAAATTATTAATAATTGTGAAGATATAATTATAATTAGTGATTCACCTTATTGAGGAGCTCGGACCCGGCTTTTCTGACTCTACGGACTAAACTGGCACCAAAACCTTTCCTATGTTAAAAACATACATACATAAGTTATAGGGGAGCAAGTTGTACTATATGTAAAATTTAAAGACATGAATTATAAAATTATAGTTTTCTGCTAAACTTACTTCTTGGTGGTGCAGCTGTCCAATTTTCTGTAGTGCTCCATAATCTTGTCTTCCAACTTTTCTTTTTGTCTGTACAAATGATTAACTTTATCCCTGCAATGCATACATACGTTAATAAAACGAGATGCCGAATAAGAACGGTTATATAATTAATGCATTAAAAGACTCGACATATGAGGTTATAAAAAGTGATAAGCTGTTATACTAACGCGAACATTTTCTCTTCCATGTGATAGTGCTCCTTATCTTGAAGCGAATGCGTTAAAAGTTCGTGGTATTGTGTAAATAATAAACTTATGTGTTCCATTAAGGAACGCCTGTCGTTATCCAACCCAGAGTTCATCTCTAGCAGCCTCTTTAAAAAAAAAAGGAGAGAACATGCATTCTAATATTTTTTATAACCAATAAATTATTGTTATAAAATTATATCCATACATCGCATCGTTCACGAAGGCTATTGACTTCTAACTTCAGGTCCGAGGATTGTTCGTCTTTGACACCAAGTTCGCCCTGCATTTCCGTCAGCTTTAAGCTCAGACGGTTCATCTCGATTTTATTCTTCCTATAATCATCTTGCAAATTTCTATATTCTGCTTTCAATCTTTCACTCGCGGTATACAAGTTTCTGAAGTCATCCTAGAATATTTGTAGCATAGTTAAAATCTTTTACTTTAAATTATCGAGATAAAACGGGATTTATAGACAATAACAAATGTCTCACAGTCAATTATATTTATCACATATAAATACCTTCAGCTTGGAATGTTCTCCTCGCAAATTATTTAAGCTTTTCGTGTTATTAATCAGGGCTTCCCGTTCAGATTGCAGCGTTTCACTTCTCGCCTCTAATCTCTCACAATTCTCGCGCAACGTTCTGATTTCATTCTTCACGTCTCTTAAATTCGATTTAAGAGCGTCCCGTTCGCGACGTAGGTTTTCATACTCATTGTTTAGTTGTTCATGCAAGGATTGCAAGGTATTTTGATCGTGAAGTAGCGCGGAATATATGTTCTGCTGTGTACTACGTTCTTTCAAAAGCTGTAACGTACATGATGATTAAGTATATAGATCAAAGTTAATTTTAAGATATATAGAACGCAATAAAAGAAACAAGATAAAAATAGCATGACAAAAATAAAAACACAAGTACCTCTTCTTTTTCCGCGACAAGTTGCGAATTGGCCAATTGCAGTGCGGTATGCTGTGCCGTTAACGAATTGCTTTGTGACTGTAACGTTGTTATGTGGACCTCGAGTTTCGCATTCTCGGACAATAAGTGCTCCATTGCTGTTTCAGACATGGATGCCTTTATTTGCAAGTGTTCCAGTTCTCTCTAAAGGTGGAGAATAAAACATAATAAAAAGTGCAAACAACGATGACGTCTTTTAAATGTAAATACCTTTAAAGGTTCTATCATGGTCTCTAAAGTCCTATTAACATCGCTTTCCTTGTCGGTGCAAACTGTGGACTCGGACGTCGCTTCCTCACTGTTCTCGGATACGAAAGATTTTTTAATGAGATTGATCACTTCTGGTATTTGGGCAATTCTGTAACAATTAAATTTATATATATATATATATGAAATTACAAACTAGCAAGAAGAGCGATTCTCTGTCCACGCTGATTTTACTTCTATTCTTACCTTTCCAATATAGTCTCCAGAGGTTGAGATAGCAATATATTATCGCTAAGGCCGAGTTTCTCCAAAACCGTGTACAACTGCTGATTACTTAGCTTTTCTGCGACGAGATTAGTTTGGAGTATCTCTAAAGTTTCTCTGTCAATTGCAGCTCGTGAGTCCAGCTCTTTACTAGATCGCTCAATCTCCTGCAACCTAGAAGAGACACCGCTCCATTATATTCAAAGTTATTAAGAATAAGTTATTATATAAACAATAGATTTCTTCGAACACACCTCGATATCTGCGTAACACAATCCTGCCTCTCCTGCTCAAGTTGTACTACTTTCCTCTCGAAGACTTCAATTGTATTTGTCGCTTTATCCAAGGCTACATCTTTCTCCTAAAATATCACGCAAAATTGTTTATGTCTATAACAAGTATATGCATAATATGCATAATATACAATCAATATTTACTTCAATTGTTTCTCTACATTTGTGAATATCTCGTTGTGCGGCATCTTTCTCTTTCTCTGTCGCCACTAGTCTTGTTTCGAGATCGAGGCACTTTGAGTTAATATCGTTGATATTGTTTTCGATGAGCTTCAATTCCTCGACCTTTTGATTTGTCGTTTCCAGAGTGCGCTCTAAATCGTCGGCGCGTCGTTGCACGCTCTCCAATAATAGCTGAACACGTTGTTTCTCTTTCACTGCGGTATCGTAATTTTTTTCCATTTCCATCATTTTTACATGGTGGGTCTAAATGTGACAAGAAAAAAAGATTAGGTAAACCCAACGATACTGAAACAAAGTATTTAGAACAGCATAGTTTGATCTAACATACTTGAACTTCCTGTTGCTGCTTCTCAAAAGAGGTTCGTTGATTTTTAAGAGTATTCTGAAGTTTCTTGTTTTCTTCCAATGCCTGCTTGCAGACTAATTCCAAGTCAGTGTTTTGTTGTACGAGCCTTTCTTTGTTATCATTCAATGATTCAATCTTCAAGGAGAGTTTCTTTTTCTCCTTCTCCAGCTCCAAAACGCGAGAAGAATTTTCATGGAATGAACTTTCTTTCAATGAATCGATTAAAGTATTTAAACGTCGATTTTCCAGTTCTAATTTTAATGCTCGTGTCTGAGCGTTGCTCGTCAATTGTTCGGACAGTCTGTTATCATTGTGCACTAAAACCATTAATTGTCATTTAGCTGTCTTTAAATAACTGTTTTACTAACAATAAAATTGTTTAAAATGCGAAATTACCTGGCTCTTCGGAGTCACTAGATCCAGCTAGTGCTGCCTCGCTAGCAACAGCTTTCGTTAATTGATGCAGTTGCGTATTTTCTTCAGCGAGCTCTTGATATTTTTCTTTGTCGGCAGCGCGTTCCTATAAATTATTTCCAATTTGCTATTCACACCTTATTACGTACACCATCAGATTCGTAATATTATAAAATTCCTGAAATTCTTACCAATGCCATATCGTTAAGTAACTGCTTATACTTGATGATTTCAGATTCAAGTTCCAACACTTTGTCTGCTCTGTTTCTTGACGAACTCAATTGTTCTTCGAGCATTTCTCTGGTCTCCATTAAAACTCTTAAATATATACATAACAGTCATTAAATGTACGCACTTTACTCATTATACTGTTAAAGTATCACAGAATGTATATTACCTGTTATCTTCGCGTAACTCTTCTATCCGAGTTTTATAAAATTCGATGTCCGTGAGTTTTTCCCTGTAACGCGTTACCTCTATTTCTAAACGGTCTGCTCTGTCCGCCCTTTCAATCACAGCGTCCAATTCATCCCTGTACGATTTAGCAGTACGAGCTTCGTGCATCAACTCTTGATTCTAAAATTATAAATTTTATATATTCACCGTGAAGATGGAAAATCACTCGATTCATATTACCTCTTGCCTTAGTTTTACAAGCAACGTCTTATTATGCTCCAACTCTTCCTTACATTCCAGTAGAGCTTCCGTTTTTTCCTCTCTGTAAGTTATATGTGAAAATCAACACAACATAAACTGTACTACGACTTATAAAAAGACAATTCTTTGTGAGAAAATAAATATGAAACGATATAAAATAATTTTTTCATATTTTAGTCGTCTAAGGCCCGATCGTACCAATGTCGCTTAACTTTAACCTTAGCTTAATTCACTCTTTGTCTCTCTCCAAGGAACAACAGTTGAAAAGAGACGAAGAGTGAATTGAGCTGAACTTAAAGTTAGGCGACGTTGGGCCTAAAAAAAATTATTTTAAATATAAAAGCAGTATTTGAAATAAGAGAAACCTGGATCTTTTGAGGGATACGTACAATTCTTGACGCTGTTTCCGGACTTTGGATTTCCAGTCAGCCAATTCGACCGCATAATGATGATTATCCTCTCTCTCCGTTTTAGCGACAGGATGAGACTGTTGCACCTTACTTATATCTTCAGATTCCGCACTGATAGACGAATCGTTTCGTTCAATGCTTTCGTCCAGCACTGTGTCCCTCCACTTCTGATTTTGCGAAATGTAATATTATTAAGTCGTGATATCAAACCAGACATTTTCACACGTACGAGCAAAATAATTGATTGGCGCGTACCTCTCGATACAAATCCAATTCTTGGATCCATTTCTTTATTTGAACAAACAGGCAACCCATATTCGCATTCTCCATAGCGTCTTGCGTAATGACGATGTCTTGGTGATCCGTAACCTGGATACAGAGTTGTGCATCGTCGTCATAAACTTGGTACGTAATTTATTTCAGCAACATCTATCTTTGTACCAGTAATTACTTCGAGACTGATAGCGATACCTGTTTAATGCACTCTACAATCCCAAGCTGCATGTCGACGTGCAGAGTCTTTATCTTGGTAATAAAGTTCTCCTTGTTCGGGCACTGGACAGCGCAGCCGAGAAGCAGCAACAGCAATAGCTTCATGTCCGCTATATACAACTCCGGCTCCTTTCCCAGATTTACAACGTCGGGCAATTTTAAAATCACATGATCCAGTTCCTCCTCGTAAAATTGCTTCATATTCTGTATCACGGTCCTCAGGTTTTTCGTACGGATAACGGGATTGTTGCTGGACGGCACCACCTCGTCGTGCAGAGGTTCTGGATTGCTACAAATGGCAAAAATATCAATGCTATACTTTGGCACCAGTGTTCCAAAATTACAGATCGACAACTCAGTGCCTATCCACGCACACTGAAGTACTTACATTTGCAGGAAGACACTGTGCAACAAGGCACCGTCCACCAGGTCCTCATAGTTCGCCAGTACATTGGGATCCTCCAAACAGCTGGCGAACTGTGAAGCGAAGCGAAAAATATGTTTCATCAAAATATCCAGTAGCGACGCAATTAGGTGGTGTCTAAAGCCTAATCTGCAATGCGTTCTTTGCATCTGGAAACATTCTATTTGATACAAGCAAATCAAAACGCTTGAAGACTTTGTCGACAATGTACGATTGTACAATGTATAATGTAGAATTTATCACCTTGCACAATTTTTTAAACGCATTTATTGGCTACCAAATAGAATGTTTCTAGGCGCAAAGAGCACACGGTGGAATTAGGCTTTAACGTATTTTTTTGTCACGTCAACTTTCATGTTTTCCCACGGCAAGGAAACGCCTGGGTTTCTCAATCGAGGGGACTCACCCAGGTGACCAGCGGCCCCGCCAAGAAGTCGTCAATTTCCGAGCAGGCCATTTTCGTGGGACTTGACGCAGGACGAGCGTGCACACGGTTATCATCTGTGTGTCGACGTTGACGTTACCATTCCCACGACGGGGCGCCGTGAGGGGGAATCGGTGCCGTCGGAGACGGCCGCGCGAAACCCGCCGGGAGCGTACCACTCCGTTGGGGAGGGGGAGGGGACCTCCCTCGAAGGCGAGTCGATCGCTCGCGGGGATGGCCGCGCGATCGTTTCAAACCGCCGCACGACCGCGTCGGCGGAGCGATGCGCGCGGCTCGCGGACGTCGCGAACGTAGACGCGGATCGTCGTCGTCGTCGTCGGTGCGCTCGGCGTCCCGACGCTCGACATCCGCACTGGAAGAGGAACGTTACCGTTTCTCGTTGCGCGCCGACGAGACTCGCCTCGCCGCGGACGGACGGCCGGTACGACGAAAATCCTCGGGACTCTCACAGCTGATCGTTTTCATAACAAAAACAGCAAGATCGCGACTACGGCGAGCGTCGCGCAGGCTCCGGCGGACGCGACTGGCTGCGGGCCCGTTCAGACGGACTTGCGTAAGCCCAGTCTACAATAGCGAATTTGATTGGTCCATTTCCTTATGCATTTGCTTATAGACCAATCAAATTCCTTATGCATAAGTGCATAAACATATGCATAACGAATTTGATTGGTTCATTTCATTATGCATTTGCTTATAGACCAATCAAATTCGTTATGCATAAGTTTATGCACTTATGCAAAAGTGCTCCCCGCTTTAAGAAATTGACCAATCACGGGCTGCGGTCAAACTGCCGCTACAAATGCCTCCGAGTATTCTTCTTTTCCTTTCTTTCAATAAAGACAAAAGGAGAAGAGAAACGCTTCGAAGTATTTGTAGCGGCAGCCCGACCGCAGCCACGGTCAAGTATAAGTAGAATACGCGACTGTGATTAGTCAGAGAGCGTTTCAAAATGTCCGAGGAAAATTTTACTCGATGGCTTCCGAAACCTTTTCGAGCGGTTTCGATCGATTTCGATCCATCTCGCGAGTAAAATTTTTCACTACAAGTTGGTCCGTTTTTTTCGGACATTTTAATTTAAATCTTAATCTGAATTAATCATAATTTCACAATTCTTCACACAAAAAGTATATTAATTGTTCTATTCCGGCCAAGTGCTGCGTAGAAATAATTAATTAATTATAAATACATGAGTGACTCACAATTCTTTTCAATTGCACTTCAAACGTCTTCATACGAAATACAAACAATTGCATATAGGAGTTATTTAAAAATACGTTCATTTCCGGTCAAGTATAAACAAATAAAAAATTCATTCGAGCTCCTGTAGAATGCGAACACGCCGTGAGGACTCGTGGGATCGTTTTCTGAACGCAACAGCCGCAAACGTGACACGAGCGACAATTAAACGTTTGAATTTTCGGTTTCGTTCTTCGTCGCGTCAAACCGAACGTCGTCAAGTTCCGTCACGATTCAGGATCTCTCTTGCTCAAAAATGTCGAGGAATTCAGCACCAAAAGACGAAAAAAAGATCATCGGTGCGCTGCCGTAAGTATGGGCGACGCAGAAGTACTTTAAGAAAGCAATGTCGAAATAACCAGAATACTTGTATCTCAATGCACGTGCGGCATATTTGTTAAAGAGACTCCAATTTGTTTTCAACGTGTGACTCTGAGCTCTGTGCACCGCCACGAATTTGCAATTCACGGAGCACTTGGGGTCTTCGAAACCGAAGTTGCGAAAAGTTAGGTTAGATCATTTCACTTTCTATCTCTCGCTCTCAGGGAGGCTACCGCCTACTTCTGGAAGCAGAACAGAAGGTCAACGTACGACAACTGGCCCTTTAATGACTCTAACAAGTGCAACGCCGAATGCATGGCTGAGGCTGGATTTTATGTCGTCGGGGGCAAGGACGAGCCTGACTTGGTCGAATGTTTTATTTGTAGTAAGCAGCTCAATGGTTGGGAGCCGGACGATGATCCGTGGTACGTGGAACAACAATGTAATGTTTGTATGTACATACATGTTATTATTTTTGTCAACAAAGACTTAAAAACTGACAACTTGCAGGGACGAGCATGTGAAGCATAACTCAGACTGTCCGTTTATTAAATTCAACGTACGAGATGAAAAGAAATGGACAATAGACCAATTGTATGATTTGTACAAAAAGTACAAGGCGAAAGAATTTGTAAGTGTAACTATCGGAGCCGGGACTAGGGTGTGACGAACGTGGCACTTGTAAGAGATTTGTAGGGGCGCAAAAATGGCAATACAAATTTTTATATATTTTAAATTTGAATTGGTAGAGACACCTGTCCGAAAGTGTAGGCAAGTCCAGACTTGAACCTTGGCTGGGGTAATATTTGTCGCAATAAATCCTCTACAGCGGTGTTTTAGAATACATTAGTATCAGTAATATTAAATTGCTTGTCAGTTTAATTTGTGATATTACTTACTCCAGCTTTCGTTATGCCGTAAAAGAAATATTTCTTATTAGGGGCGCACTTTTTCCTCTGGCCTTGGGTGCCAAAAATCTAGTCCTGGCTCTGATAACTGTACATTATATTTGTAAATCTATTCAATTTGTTCTCTACTTAATAATGATTTTATACAAATCTGTTTTGTAGATGGATGAAGTGAAAAATAATATAGCCATGATACAACATGAAGCAGAACGGTTCTCGAGCCAGTTATCTGTAGAGCGAGCGCAAAAACCATGAAGAGCACCGATTCATTATTATAGATTTTATACGGTAAAATATCCCTTCTATTTTATGAATTTCTGAATGTTTAAATATATTTGTAATACTTAAGAAATATATTACGTATAGACAGTTAAATTTCTCTTTTGGTATCTGGCTCGTCTAATTATAAATTTAAGCGTAGCAAAAACATTTAAAAGTCGTTCAACATTGATCGCAAATCCGATATCCGATAGAAGAAGTTTTCTAGAAACTTTAGAAAATTAAGCTCTTGGATATTTTTGGATTTGCGATCTAAGGCTGATATTACATTTGTCGTACGACAAATTTTTCAAGCACGTTAATTGGTTGCAGGGTAGAAAAGTTCTCGAGTATCTGAAAATTTTCTAGCTTGTAGCCAATTAACGTGCTTAAAAACGTGCTGTATATATTATAAACGTTAGATAAGATAAACAAGTGATTCAATCAATTGTTCTAACTTTGTATTATTCAGAACAATAGATTAATTCGCTTATGTATCTCATTTCACTCTCATATCCCTCTGAGAAGTTTGGACATGAACCATAGCTTGTGTACCGTTACCGAGTGAACGGACGTAGTTGACATCCACTTTGTCAGGGGACAGGTGCAGCACCGACGGTGCTCGAGCGCCTCGATCCCCAAAGTTTGCATCACTGGCCGGGGGGAAATTGCTCTCCCGCCGGGTATTCGGTTTTCCATTAGCTCGAATACGCAATGCCGATTGATCAGAAACGTATTAATGGGCCGGACGCCTCCACGCCGTATGATATTTATATTCACTCCGAAGTGAAAGACGATGGAATACAACTTAATGCCCCAAAGAGAATCGATGGCCGTTCGGACGGCGAGCTCAGAGACATATGTAAGGTTGAGGTTATGTCACAAGTACACTAGGAATCACCTGATGCCTCCCCCATGTGAATTTAGATACAAGTAGAACACATAGACATTTTCCATGTATGTAAATGCAAAATGTGTTAATATGTGCACAAATTCATGTAGGAAGGCATCAGTGATTCCCAGTGTACATACATAAAACTGGCTCCACTTGGGCCTGCTTTCACCGTCGTCATTTCATTTTAAGCTTATTGTTAGCTCAATTCATTCTTTGTCTCTTCCTAACTGTTCCTTTAAAGAGAGAAAATTAATTAAAGTTAAGCGACGTTGGTGAAACTGTGCCTTAGAGCAACTTTGATCAAAGTCCGATCAACGTTTAATTTGTCAATAAATATATACGGTATTTTGTCAAAGCGGATAAAGTGTTCTTCGGTTCAATACATGTTTTATAAATAGGAATTGTAAACCGGTATTCGCACTCGGATCTTATATTCAAGACCGCCTTGAATTTATCTAAAGATGCTGTATTATATTTCATGGAATATTTCATTGACTACGGAGTATCTAAAGATGATGTTAAGACAGTCTTGAATATAAGATCTGACTGTGAATGCCGCCTATAGTTTACGTTAATCGTTGCAATTAGTAACATTACTCAGAGTTTGGTTGAAGTTATAAGTTAAATTTTGTAGTTAGGTCTAATAAAAGGCACGCACAAAGTGACCCTGTGTGAAACTTTGTCAACAGTTGTAAAAACGGGCATAGTCAGTCAGGCAAAAGGTTCCGCGTATATCGAGATGGGCAACACCAAGGTCATCTGCTCAGTGTTTGATCCTAGAGAGATACCGAACAAGAGCGGCTACTGCATGCAGGGGGAACTGTTTTGCGAATTCAAATTCGCACCCTTCTCTCATCGAAAGCGGAAATTGCATCAGCAGGACGCAGAGGAAAAGGAGTACAGCTTAATACTGCAGAGGGCTTTAGAACCAGCTGTGTGTCTGGTACGTGTCTTCCAGGTTTTTTTTTTCATCGAGGATTTAAACTCTTAGAATGATGTACCGATCGTGGTGAAATTAATAACCTGTGCAATGTAAAATGTGTATCTATAATTATTGATTGTCGCATTTCCGTTTCAGCAAGAGTTCCCCAATTTTCAAGTCGACGTCTACGCGACAGTCCTTGATAATGGGGGATCTGCGCTGGCTGCGGCGATAATGGCAGCTAGTTTAGCTTTGGCAAACGCTGGAGTGCCGATGTTTGGCCTAGTCACTGCGTCCACTGTTGTGAGTAAACGTCTTTGAGAATTTTTACTATGTAACGACAATGTGTGAAATTTTACGCCGCTCTCAACAGGGCATATGTGGTCGGACATACCTAGTGGATCCAACGGAGACAGAAGAGACTTTTTGTTCCACAAAGGCCGTGCCAGGCACGACGGACGATCATGGAATCATCGTGCAAGCTACTCTCCCACAGCACGGCCAGATCTCCGAGATATTCGTAGTGGGCAGCATTGACATCGATACTATTGAACGTTCCATGAATCTTTTGAGCAGTGTACACAACGACATATGTCCCTTGCTAGAGCAATGTCTCGTAAAAACTGTGTTCAAAGCGTTTCGCGAGCGCTCGAACAGTAAAAAAACAGATAAAGAATAAAGGTAAAAATTTTTCATCGTTATTTTCTCATTCTCATTTTTGTATCGACCTTCACTAAATAAACGAGCGTTTAACGAGATGTAATTTTTTTAATTTCAAGTTCGAAAATTTTTGATGTGCCTATATGTGTTTATGTACATGCTATATAATTTATATGCGTTAACGTGCACTATAAATTTTCAGCACTAGCAGAGTAAATTTTGGAACAGCTATAATAGCGGTAGCTCCGAGCAAAAAGAAAAGGGAAATACACATTCGTAGCATTTGTGCATAGCAGGAATTGATATGTACAATATTTTAATTTATTTAAAAATAGTAAAATTAATTGAGACTTGTCATTGCAATAAAGCCCACTTTACACGATCTATAATTCGCGACAGAATTCAAGATAGAATTCTATTTTATAATTTCATATATTAAGTTGACATACATATGTTTGTAGATTAGGTTAGTGTAGGTTATAACATTTACATATGGATGAGGTCCGTTTTCCCTGCCGATTGGACACAAATACTCACAGCAATCAATGCTTAAGGTTTTTCATTAGACCAGATACAATTAATCAATCACGCATTTTCATGCACTACACATATTTGATGCATCTTTTCTATTTATAAAATTGGAGCATTATAATTATAATTCTGATTGTTCAAATGTTTTCTGTATTACACGAAACAAAAAAATTAAAAAATGGAATTCTGTTGCGAATTATAGATCGTGTAAAGTGGGCTTTATATAAGAATTATACATAATAATTATATGAAATTATTACAATTCCGAGATGAAATACGGACGGATCGCGGCCCACGGATTCGAATCTGGCGGCCGGTCACGTGATCCACTTTAATTCGCCGCACTGCGGACAGGCGGTGCCCGCTCTCCTTCTTTTGTTTTCCGCCGGGGAGTGGAATCCGCCACGCTGCCATCTTTGTCGTCTCGTATGCGTCCGGCGGTTACACCACGCAGTTACACGGTGCGCTCGGCGTCTCAGCGTTTGGAATTTAATTGTGCTTCACGCGCGCATCTCGCGTCCAGGTCGCCTCGCGCGGGCCACACGATGAGTACCGACAGTATTGAAAAGTTGTACAAGAACTTCGGCATCCTCGCCGACGCCAAGGATAAACTGGTGCAGGTACGCGCGACATTGGTTACATCCGGCACCGGCTACGTTTCGCTTCGAGATACATAGCCGGGACTCCATCTCTGACGTGTCTCCGATCGACGCCTAACACCGTGGCGGTCGTTGTACGCGCGAATTGCGCCGCCGCCTCCGAGTATCGGACGCGTTCCCGAGACGTAGACGCGTGCGGCGTCCCGCGTGCGTCCGCACGCCGCACGATTCGAACCGCCCAAGTCGGCTCTCTCTTTCATTACGCACTGTTAGAGCGGAAGCGCAGACCTTTGCACACGTGTACACAAGCGCGTACACAAAGAGACCGATTGGCCGTGGGCGAACGCACGAGGAAATTGATTGCTTGTACACTTACGCAATAGTCTGTGCTCCCTGCCCTCAAACTTGTTCCCGTAAAAGGCTTGCGGTGCTATGGTAGCTCGTCGAAGATACCGTTTACTGTGCACGAAGAGCCGCTGTAGCCGCTTGCTGAAAATGTTGGGGTGTAGTGCACGTTGCAGCGTAGCGACTGATCGGTCAAAAGCTGTTTCTCAATTGACCATTTGGAATGACTTGCGCTAACGTAGTCAGGCATGCGATTACAGTTGTGTACTTTGAATTTATATACGGAATGTATTTGCGCGAGGGAATTCCTCAAGTCTGGTCTACAATGAGCTGTCAGTCGTTTGTCCAGGGGCTCGATCATGATTCCTTTCTTCTAGCGTCAACTCGTGAAGCACTTCATTGAGTAATTTCACTATTTAGCTGCTTTCCTTTTACACTCGAGTAATATTGGAGTCACTCAGTTATGTGAGTATTTTATACTCGGATATGATGTCATTAATGTGAGTCTATTAGTCCCAGTCTACAATAGACGATTTAAGCCCTAAGCTTTAAGAAATTGGCCAATCACGGTCAAGTACGAGTAGAATACACGACTGTGATTAGTCAATTTCTTAAGGCTTAGGGTTTAAATCTCTATTGTAGACTGGGACGTAAACTCACTAAAGTGTGCAAAAACTCAGTTAAATCTGGTAGAATCTAACTTCTCAAGAATCAAAGGGAACATGCATTCAACTGAGTTATGACGTCACGAGTGAGATTTATCTGAGTTTTCATGTAAAAGGAAAGCAACTTTTGTCAATGATATTTTTCACCTTCCACGAATTCACGCCAGAGCAAAAGATTCGGGATCGAGCTCCGGGAGTCGAAACTGTACATCGATCCCTTTTTTTTCTAAGTGAAAGAAGGACTGACATAGGTTCCAATTTCCAGCAACTCGTTGTAGACTAAGCTTAACTCGTCTGAAGAAGGTGAATAACAGAAGTGAAAAAGATCGATTTGGATCAACTATGTACCATGTTTTTAAACTTTATATATTTATACAAGTATTTGTTCCGATAATAGCACGTTTAGCTTGCACCTATCGAATTCCGAATATTACTTTTAATCTTTCAAAGCGTCACGATGTAAATCTATTCAGAGTAGCGTCTTGTTGTACCTTCGAGCCATCTAGAATAACCGTGTAATTTTTAGCATGAGAAAGAATACCTGGAAATTCTGACGGCAGTTAAAGGATCGCCTAAGGAGAAACGACTGGCGTCGCAATTCATTGCTAGATTCTTCAAGCATTTCCCGAAACTGGCGGATCAGGCTATAGACGCTCACTTAGATCTGTGCGAGGATGAAGACATGGCTGTAAGTTTACGAACAGGAGTCGAGCCACTTTCAACTTCGAACGCGCAAAGCTTTCAGCTCTGGTGGCCAAAACAATAGGTCGCGTCTATATAATTCTCATTTTCTCTATAGATTCGGAAACAAGCTATTAAAGATCTACCGGCTCTTTGTAAAGATAATAAAGAGCATACGGCGAGAATTGCAGATATCCTGGCACAATTACTGCAAGCCGAGGACTCTTCAGAGCTAGCAGTTGTACATAACAGTATTATGTCGCTTATGAAGAGTGATCCCAAAGGTATTGTTCGACGCGTTACAACAACGCCTACAAGTCCCGTTCGACTGAAACTCGTCGTTTGTGCGGGCAGTTTGCAATATTGTTGGATTAAAACAACTTTCTATTTGCAGGTACTTTAAGCGGATTTTTTAGCCAAATCATTAATGGCGACGATGGGACGAGGGAACGTTGTATAAAGTTTCTGGCTACCAAACTCAAAGCGATAGGACACGACATTATCACGAAGGAACCAGAAGATTTGTTGATTGCAGAATGTAAAAAAGTATTGCAGGTAATTGTCCGATTTCTAACATTATAACAATGCATACATGTATTTGTTTCTTAAATTAATGTGTCCTCTTTTTTTATATATATATAGGACGTAACTGCTGACGAATTTCATAGCATCATAGAGATCCTTGCGTGGACTAGATTGGGATCTACCGTTACTGGCCAACAAGAATTGATTGACATTACGATAGAACAAGCTGAACTATCAGTACCTTTTAAGCACACTAATATTGAACAGTGGAATAGATTAGTGCAATGCGTTAAACATGCTCTTCCGTTCTTCAGTGTATGTATATATACATTTGTTTTCAATATTCACATGCGGTTTAATATTTTGTATATAAATGTCTTGCGGATATTATCTTATAATTGTTCTATATTTCGATATCTCTTTTTCAGTCGCAGATAGACTCGTCAAAATTCGTCTCGTACATTTGCGTGCAAGTTCTACCACACCTCTCCTTGATGACTTCTCCCGATGGTAGAGATATTCAACTGGAACTGTTAAAATTGCTTGCTGAATTAACCGTGTTTTGTGGAACTATTGAAAAACCCGAGGATAAAGTTCAACAGCTCTACAATACCCTTATCGTAAGCACTGTGTTTTTATTTACACATATTTTGACAATTTAACATATGTTTGCACTGTGCTATTTAATGGTATTTTGTCGATAAAAATTACTGTCATTATTAATTTTTCACTTAATTTATTTCAGACCTACATGCCGCTTCCTCCAGCTACGGACATTACTGACGTACCAAAGTTGCAATTTAGTCACGTGGAGTGTCTAATGTACGCTTTTCACAAACTGTGTAAGCAGACTCCTGAATTTTTGATTAAGGACCCAGAACAGCTGAAGGAATTCCGATTGAGATTACAATACTTTGCGAGGGGCATTCAAGGCTATATAAAGAAATTACGTGAAGCTATCAGTGGAAAGACAGAAGAGGAATTGAAATCTGAGGAAAATCAGTTAAAGGTCGTGGCACTGAAAACAACCAACAACATCAATACTTTAATCAAAGATCTGTTTCACTCGCCTCCTAGCTTTAAGAGTGTTATACATCTCTCATGGAAAACGTCTTGCAACGACAAAAAGGTAATTGGTTTTCAATACATATGTTACAAGTTTCGAGTGTTTTGTGCAGACAAGTTTTACGGTTCGCGAGTGCTTTGACTTGCAGTATTCCAGTTTTATTAATTTCGTGTTTCTGTTTTAGAGCGATAAAAATTCTACTCAGAAGAGACACACACCGATTACATTTGGAAATGACAGCAGTCCGAATAAACGTAGTAAGGAAGATAAGAACAACAAAAGAGAAATATACACACCTCCTAGTGGCAAGTACAGTTCGAACATATCAAATTATGGTGAGTGGGCGAACGTATTGAAACTAGAAAAGACAAATTTTAGTTTACAATTGTCATTAATTATTATTAAATTTCCTTTTTGTAATCAATATACTCATTAATTATCATTAATTATCATTAATTTCACTTATTGTTTTTAGGTCGTGGTAGATTTAAAGGTAACAGACCTAGAGGAAGAGGAGGATTCAGGACAAGAGGTCGTGGCCCATGGCGAAAGAATTTTTATTAATCCATAACATGCATTACAATTATATAATATAATAGTTTATCACTTCAACTTTGCAGTCAAAAAGTGGGTCTTGGTTTAAAATTGCACTTATGTCTATCCACACTACGTATTCTCATTCATCCGTTCACACCTTATATCCTATTTTCTTATTCTTCTGTCTGATCGTATCTCGTCATTCTATTCGCAATCTAATTTTCTTTCTATCCTTGTTCTTGTATCTCCTTCATCTTTTTTGCTGTTTTAGCTTTATCTTTCTACAATTTCCAAAGTACCTAACCTTTTTCACTATCTAGTTCGCCGGTCCATGTCCTATTTAATATTTAATATTTCTCTATTGTTCATCCCTAATGGTTTCTTCACACCTCTCAATAGCTGTCTTCCAAATAGAAATAATTAAAAATTCAGTTTCTTCTTTACTAGACTTACTCGACACGAAAGGTACTGGAATTTTATTATAAATTACCGTATTGTCAGCAAAGTGAGATTAAATTTTATTCTGGAAGATATCTTTTGTATAAGGTTGTCTATAAGTGATAAAACCAGCCATAAACCTCTAAACCATTCATCTGTTATTTCACATTTCTCTGCAAAGTGACTTATATAATCTTTGCCTTTTCCGCAAAAGATAGCCTCTTTTCTTCCTGTATCCAAAATTTATTCGCCTCCTTCATATTTCCTTAGCCTCGCTAACTGCCGCTAACTTACCTTTTTACACAACTCCTTTATATGGTCCGCGTAATCCCCTTTCCTTATTAAAAGTGAATCCGAGATATTTGAAGTTCTGCACCTCTTCTCTATCCTCCTTTCCCCATGTCCATTTCTCTTTCTTTTCTCTTTCTGTTGAATACTAATACCTTTGATTTTTGCACATTTAAAACTAAACTTCTTTCCTCAAGAAATCTAAGTATATCAATCATACCTATTAAAATTCATTACAATTGAAAACTGCTAAAATTCGAAATAACGATACAAGCGCCTATTTGCTTTGCGATTTCAACGAAGCGCTTTTAAAGAAGTCGCAAGATCTAACTTTGTTAGTCTTTATGGCTGACATATACTAGAAATGATTTCGAGATAGTTTGAAGACTGATAAATTCCTAAATACGTAAAATAGGAATCTATAATTTTTCAAACATTTACTAACGACACGGGAAGGAGATTTGGATAGAATTTACACGAATATTTAACTTGTTTAATTCTCATAATATGAATTGTACTGAAAATTGAAAATATTTCAGACGTAATATGAAATTGTGAAGAAAATGAAACGTATGCAATACGATACATACGAATGTATTAAGAAAATTAAAAAGAGGACACTTATTGGTCGGCAAATCTCGTGAAAGTGTTGGAACTTTATATGGGAAAATGAAGAAAGAAGACTTTGAGACACAAGGCATGTCAAGATGGTATTATTTGAGGAGAAATTGAAGAAGATGAAGATGGAAATGTCACGCTGTTACCAAACTGAAACTTACTCGCGCAATTGAATCGCGAGGCAACATCGACACACCGATCACAGACGCATGGTTATGGAGATAGAAAGCAGTTCCTTCTTTATAAAAAAAAGAAACTTGAAGATTACAAAAATACAATCTCCCGTATCCATTCCTAAATTAGCTTCCCTTCCTTCGAACCTTTATATTTATTGATACCTGTTATATATTTATCTGTTGACACAGGGTCGAGCCGTGCTTAACAGAGGGAGTTCGAAAGCAGCCACGCAATAACAGTTTGATCGAAGAAACACCAAATATAATAATTTTCTATCTGTAGGAGAAACATACGGGGTGAGTCATACATCGTTTTGCAAAACTCGTAAGAAGGTAGAACGGACTGACATAAACGAAAAAAGGTACCACTTTACGATATTATCAATAGACGAGAAATTAATTTTTTAAATCGGACGAAGAGTCGCTGCCCGCGAGCTTACATCGCGCCGCAAATTCGCTAAAATTCACGTCGCGACGGCCGGCTACTTCTCTCGGCGCGCACTTATTCGTCCGACTTTAAAAATTAACTTTTCGTTTGTTATTTGAGAATACCGAAAAATGCCACGGGGCTTTTTCGTTTATCTCAGTCCGTTCTATCTTCACGCGAGTTTTGTAAAAAGATGTATGATTCAACCTGTACACATGTATACATGTCTGTACATAAGTGCGCATACGTAAATTTGCATATACAATTAAAAAATTTTCTACTCTTTGATTTTCACAAATATGTATGAGATTCAAACAATATTGCTTTATATATATTATATGAAATTATACAACTCCTAAAATACGTAGTTTTAGCATACGTTCAGCTGTGAAAAAAAATGACAAAACATGATTTTGTGTTTCTTCGATAAATAAGACCAATTTGGAGCAGCGATTATTATATTGTTTTTCTTTTGCAGGAAACGTACATATTAACGAGAGGCTTGGAAATTGGGAGAACTAGGCCCCGGCGTAATAAATCCATATTTAGATGTGTATATATATATATTTTTTTCCTGTTTTCCCACTACAGAAACCTTTCAGAAACGAACGCGGAAACGGGGGCTGCTGCCTGGAGAAACTAATTAATATTTTTCTTCCAGGAGCTCTCATGATGGACATTATTGTGTTTATTAGCATATATATATCTGTGTAATATGTCTCCTTCATGTGATTGCTGTTTGTGAGGTGAGTTCAAAAAGTATTCTTCCATCTTTCCTTTCCCTCTATCCATCATTATCATGTAGAAACATTTCGTGTTATCTATAAAAAAAAACCAATTCGTCAATATGTTTTTAATTATTTCAATAAATAACATTATTTAATACTGTGTGGTGTTCTTTGACCCAGTAAGTGTAAGAAGAGAAAATAATTAAACCAAATAGCCGAAGTGAGTTAGTAAGAACAAATTTGATTCCGAGACGAGCAGACTAGTTAGCTGTACGTATGTGTCTGCGTCAGTTTCCGATCTGTCTTATCTTTAAGCTTTACCGTCGCATTAATACGCCTATAATCTAGATCTACCGATACGCCTATGTAAGAGCCAGTATCGTATTTGTATTAAATGCGCTTAATTTTGCAGAATCACATGTATCTAATCTTACAATTAGTCTTACGAAATCTAGAATACACGGGTTATATATATATATACAAAACTTGTCAAACTTGTGTATAATTAACGCATGAAGAATAAAATATATAAATTTTAAAGCAATCAGCACCTTTCCGTCTGTAGATGAGCGCACGATATGTAAGGTAATATTTTCAGATACCAGCAGTGATCCATTGTTTAAGGGATACATAGTTTTTTTAATATTGCCACTTTATTAAATAAGTAGTAACATTTAGAAAAGATCACATTTCGTCCTTACCTACCACCACGATTTACATACGCAATTAATTCGGAGTCCTCACTGGTAGATGAACTTGCACGCACGACGGTGAAGGGTCGACACTTCAGAAGAGCCCGTTCGAGGAAAGCATATCGTCTATCACTTTGCACATAATACGATCGCTCGGACTGCAGGGATCCTGGGTTTGCTGTTCGAAGCCTAAACTGTCCACGGACTCCATCGCGTCTGTGTTTATCGCGAGTTTCGAGTCCAGCTCCGTGTCGGGGAGCATCTGCAGGGCGTGCTGCAGTATCTCTTGAACCTGAAACAAGCCCGGCGTTAGTGACACTCGTGAAAATTACTCGAGGACTCGATAGATCCGACGTGAGGCGCACCTTCTCAAGGTGCTTCTGGAAGCGCAGCGCCGTCTCGTGACGCTGTCTGCGCTGCAGTTCCATCATGACTCGCAACGTCTCTCTCGCCTGGTGCGGTCGGAATTCATTCAGCAGGTGATGAATGTGAATGAACAACAGACTGAGGTCCTCGACCTGTAAGAGAACGACGATGGTTTCGTCACTAGGTACAATCTTTAGCGTCTCCGGACTCGGATGGGGGGTCTGGTTTATCATCTTCTGGTTAACTGTTAATCAGCTAGTCCGTAGTACAACTAGCAGGTCCACTCCGTCCCTTCTGCATCCGACATTGTTCTGGGTGGACCAACGAGAGGAAAGTTGTATGTTGCACGGCGGACCGCGAGGATCAAAGCGGCCGATGGAGAGTGGACCTGCTAGTTAAACTGCGGTTAGTTTTTTTACATTATTATCCAAGAGGAGACCGGGGTAATCGACTAACCTCTGGTCAACAGTTAGCTAGAAAAACGATAAACCCGGGCCTCGGTGTCTGAATCGAAATGACAGAGCCCTCGAGTCCCGGGCAACGAAGGGAGGGCACGTACCTTCTCCGCGCGTCTCGGGCTGTCGGGGCACTGGACGAGCAGGTCGATCAGATCCAGGAAGTTGACGAGCAGCGAGTGATTGAGCTTCTTCAGCTCGCGCCGCCGGTCGAAGTGCTGCGGGTACAGCCGCTTGATGCCCTGGGCCTCGAGCGGCCGGATGATGGTGTCGTCGGCGTTGAACACGTTGCCGAACATGGAGTAGCTGTCGTGGATCGGCGGCGGCGGGCGCGGGGCGCGTCCGCGCCGCACGTTCTCGTCCGTGTACAGATTGATGTACTGGACGGGCGGCAGGGGCAGGGAACTCACCTGTATCGCCTCGGGGGCCGCCATGGCTGGGCAAGGACCGCGACAACACACGGCTCCTGGTCCGCCGACGGCGCGTAGAGGTTATGTCGCGCGAACCTCTCTCCGAAACTCTCTCTCTCTCTCTCTCGCAACGCTCTCGCGTCCGCGCGGTTACCGCCGCTCCTCCCGCGGGCGCTGGTCGTCGCGCGACACGGCGGGGCGAGCGACACGCGCGAGGAAAAGCAAAACAACGACGAGGCGGCGGTCGTGCGAGTCGCGCGCGCGTTGCCCTAGTCCGCCATCTTGCTACGTCTCGGTGCTACGCGGGTCGGGCGAGCGTCGCGAGATCCACCGGAGAGTCGCGGTGCCGCCGGTCCCGCGGCTCGCGACCCGCCGCGATATTCGCGCGACGCCCGGCGTCGGGCACCCCCGTCCGCGTCGCGGGCGCGCGCGCCCGCGCGCGCGCGTCCGTCCCGTCCCCCCGGCTGGCGGCGGCCGCGCCGCTCGCGAGCCGCCGCGTTGACCGGCGTGGTGCGGCATTTCCTGACGTCTCGCCGATTCCCCGACGTCTCCCCCGTTTTTGACAGATTGTCCGGTGTGCGCGTACGCGGCGCCCGCCTCTCCCACGTGAACTCTTTGTTTGGGGCGCCGGCGGTCATGCATCCGACGACGGGCGCCGGGACCGCGGGGTGGTAGCCGCCGCACGTCTGTCGCATGGTAAGAGGCCGGCCGTACCGTCAACAGCGGCGCGATCGCCGATCGGCACGCACGCACGCACGTCGTCGCCCGTGGAATTCGAATTCGGCTGGAAACGGTCGCCGCCGCCCTCGCCCTCGCCCTCGCCGCGCCTCCTCGACTCCGCCTCGGCGCGCCTGGACCGGACGGGAGGATTCGACGACGACGACGGTCGCCCGCCGCCCGTCATTAGTCGCGGACCGGAGACACGTGAGCCGAGTCCGCGTCGGGTTATGGGACGAGGAAAAAGGCTCCGGTGTGCTATATTTAGAAATTTCTTTCGCGTCCTTATCTCGAGCAGACCGGATAAGCCGGATTGGCGGAGGGACAGAGGAAGGAGGGAGAGAGAGAGAGAGAGAGAGAGACGGAGCGAGACGTCGGATGTAACTTTTTTCTGTATCGCTCCGTAGAGAAAGGTGTCGAATTAGAATGTTGTGCAACAAGTATCAATTCTAGGGCCCGCGTGCCGTGTCGCGGTGTACGCGCGCGGACAGACGGAAATGTTGGCGCTCCTCCGGCGGGCCGGAGGCTCCGTGGTCGTGCGGGAAAAATGATGGTTTCATTGTTACTAGGGAGGCCCTCCTGTGATGGCAGGGAAAGATGGGAAGCTAGAGTCAAAAGGTGGAGACGTAGTGCGGCAGGGATTCATGATAAAACGCTCGCAGAACAAGAAGCGCTTCACCCCGGTCAATTACAAGCAACGATGGTTCGTGCTGACGAAACACTATCTCATCTACTACGACGGAGATGGTGAGGTGAGTAGCTTTTCCCTCGCAGTGTCCCGCGCACGTTGGGCCCTCGATTTCCTTACTGCGGGACCCGAAGACCCGAGTCGCCGAGTCGCCGAGTCGCCGCGCCGGCTCGTTTCCCCGTTTGCGAAACGGCGAGAGCCTGCGTGCACGGCCCACTCGCGGCGACAGCTGATCAAATTTTCTATCATTTGTTTTGCCAGCGGTGTTGGGTCCCGACGAAAGTTTTACTTTCATCGCAACGGGTTGTTACTGTAAGGAAAAACTTTGCGGCGACCGTTGATGAAAGTCTAGTCGATTTATTGTGCCGGTGTGATGCGTCCCAACCGGATCTTTGGGTTTGTTTTCTGTTCCTGCACTGGTGAACTAGTGCAGTAAGCTAGAATGAGAAAAATATGCTTGTCTTACTCCAATTTATTGCACTAGTTCACTAGTGTAGGAACAGAAAACAAGCCTTTTGTCTTACCGAAACGGATTGTTGTGATTGTAAAGAAACATTGCCAATGAACAATAGCAACTGATCGAATTTTAGTCGACTTATTTTGCCAGTAATATTACACCCTGACAAAACTTTTTATTTTATTGAAACGGATTGTTATTATAAACATTCTGCAACACACGTCACAAATAGTCGAATTTTAACCGGTTAATTTTGCCAGTAATATTGCACCCTGACAAAATTTTTGTTTGACCAAAACGGATGATTTAAAAATAATATTTTACAATAAGCAATAACAGCTGATCAAATTTTTATCAGTTAAATTTGCCAGTGGTATGTTCCTGCAAAATTTTTGTTTTACTGAAACGGATTGTTGTTATTGTAAAGAAAAATTTTGCAATAACAGCTAATCAAATTTTAGTGTAATTTGCCACTGATATATTTCTGCAAAATTTGTGCTTTACCGAAACGGATTGTTGTTATTGTAAAGAAAAATTTTGCAATAACAGCTAATCAAATTTTAGT